GTCTAATAAAGCAAACCTATTGCAACATAATACTTCATTACCTGTTTATAGCATCACTTTCAGGCGTCATGGCAGTATCTTGAAGAAACAGAACGAAATCATAAAAATATGGCTGTCATGAAAGGGCAACCGTTGTGAGAGATGGCAACAAAGCCAGGTCAACCTTCGGAAAGAAAGCAGTTGATGAGAGTAGGAGATTCTATAAACCACTGGAAAATTTGTTTGTTTGCTTCATATTGACATAACTCATCAGAGTCCATTTTGTTACCATATGAGATCCTAGCTACGAGAAAGCCCGGTAAAAACAAGATTCATTTTCCAAATAATGTTTAACTATGCTGCATGTGTCCATGTAGTATATCACAATGACATACAAGTTAGTTGTAAATTTTGCAACGGATTAGTCATCGGATGCGGACTCGACGATTCATTTCAAAGTATTTAACTATAGACGAAAAATATTTATTTAAATTTTAATGCAGGTTTTTGATTCTGGACCAATAGTTATATAGATAGATGCTTGAATGATTCATGGTTAAGGGCACCAAATGCAACAGATGGTAAACCGGTTTATTGCCGACGCGTTTTGCTACAGAGACCGTAGCATCATCGAGCTAGACTGCCTAGCCTTTCATTGAAACAATTGTACAACAATGCAAAAAGAAAATTTGAACATGGCAGATGTAACTATGAAGTTGCCGGTCCCAATCCCGCATGAGAAATGAAAAGCATTAGGTACAATAGCGAGGTCTCCCGTAAACCTACCTACCCTGCTCCTCATGGCATTACCGTCATCGAACATTATTTCGGCTCGCCTGTCGCACCGATTATCAAAAGCTCTTGATAAACTGAAACAAGCTGCAAAAAGTTGGTGATTAAAATCTGCTTCCCAGCGTCCGGCAGCTGAGGTCGTAGCTGCAGGACAACGGCTACCGAAAATTGGCAAGACAAGGACGAAGATACCATTCAGCTGAAGAGCCACTGTCCGTTCTGAGCGGAAGAGGCAGACAACCCGATGCGATTACAGCGCCTCCGCTAAGACTCCACAAGAACGATACCAACAGTGGGAGCTTACGGATGGAAATTGGAACATATCCTCACTCAAAGGGATCTAGCAAAGATCACTCAGATCAGCAGGATTTAGCTCATGAAACCGTATGGTGCCAATATGGCATGGCATCCACTCTCGCCAGCGAAACACAAAGGCTCCGGAAGTTTCAACCTCTAATAGTTGACGTTATTCTACTCAGTTGTTGATATTACAACACATCTTCAAGCTGATGTTGGTGTTCTGTTAAAACTCAGCCTGGTTGTCGGGATTACTAAATGAAGTTCTCTCAGCGTAGCGGTGGCAATCCTCAGATTTTGTTGCAAGCCTATGCGCTGAATTCAGAGGAAGAAGAATACGCATCCTTGTTCATTGAGGTACATCGTCTTCTATACGAAGTACATACTACAGATTTCGTCATTCAAATGGATTATTTCAAATGGAAATTCATTATTGGAAAGAATGGCCCTGGTGACCTCAACCATAACGACATACAGCTGTTGGTTTTGTGCGAACAACGGACTGTCTGTAAAGAACAGCATCAAGCATCGAAGCGTACGTAAGCATACCTGATATAGGGAAGATTTTGCGCAGAAATTGATGATTGATTTGATAGTCGTATTGTTTGACTTACAACTACTTGTATTGGATGTTCGCGTTAAGAGAAGGATAGAGCTGTCAGACGATCATGATTTTGTTGCTGGCATCCTCGACTGTAAACGAACGAGTACCGTACGAAGACCTGGTGGCAGAAGCAGTCAGAGAAACAATTTCTTTGGAGGATGCGAGAGCCAAACTTTCAACTTGCATCGTTAGACGGTTTGAATTGATTGCTGTGATGACCACTGGTGTTTAAACCGAGTGCCAGCTCAAAGTAGCATCTCGAAGCTGCCGCAGAATGCTGCGGATTTAAACAGGTTGGCCTGCCCTTTGGAGGTCAGGAATGATCTTTCTGACTGTTAAAGATAAGAAAGCTGCATTCAAGAAATGGCTTCGAAACAAAGAGCCTTCTGCTCTCCTCCGATATTGCGTAGCACGCAAAGCGGCTGCGAAGCAGTGGCGAAAGTCAAAGCTGATTCCTGGAAGAAGTTCGGCGAGGAGTTGGTGTGGAATTTCCAGAGGGTGAACATGAGTTTCTGGCAGACTATGCGTCGGCTCCGAGTTGAAAGAAGGGCAGTCTAAAAGTCTTTAAGGACATGGCTTGACAATCTCTTATGAAAGATAATGACAATGGAGAGAGCACTTTGAGGAATTTCTTAGCATCAAGCAATCGCAGGAAGAGCAGCAGGGAACGGACATTAGTTTATCTCTGTAGATCAAATCGCAAAGCCGTGAGAACCAGCTGTAATCTATGAAATCCGTTCTGAAATGCTCAGAGCAATAGGAAAACAAGGCATGCTCGCTAACACTTGTGTATCAAACTGCAGTGGCCACAGTTAAGGCCCTAAGCGACTGGAGAACGGGATTTCTAAGCTTCTTTATCAAGAAGGAGACATTAGGGAGTACTGCAATTATCGGAGTGTTGCATCATTAAGCTCCAGGAAGAAGTCTGTGAAAAGCCATAAAAAAGGAAGGTGGAGCGAAATAGCTGAATTTAAGATACTAGAAGTGCAGTGGTACCGAAGCTTAATGTCAGATGTTCGCCTATCTGAAGATAGTTGAGAATTCGTGGGATTTCGCCCATACGATTTACACGCGTTATATTGACCTGCAGAAAACTTATGACCGGATCTCAGGCAAGAAGGATATGCGTGACCGCAAATATCTGAAATTGATGGCCACTGGTTATGAATCATAGAATCACAATATGGCAATTACAGATGTTATGTTATTGTAGATTCGCAGGTCCGAAGATTCGCAGCCGAATGTGATGCGACTGCTGTGAATGCTGACGTGTGTAAAACGAAAAGCTTCTCGTTCTCTTTCCCTTTACGCTCTTCAAATAAACGGCGAAGCAGTGGAGCAGGTGGAGGAGCTCGAATGCTTAAGGGTTGTGTCTAGTGGTGATGAAAAGTGGAAGAAGTCGACCAGCTGATTTTAATGACCATTGGCTAGCTCGAAAGCGTTGTTATTAGAGCAGAGCTGAGTCTGAACACTAAGCTTTCACTGCTCAAATTATGAGTCGTTGACCATAACAAAAAATTCAATCACGGGCCCCTGAAATGGGTGTTTTGAGACGAAACGCTCACCTCACGCGTCTCGACGTAGCCCTGAGTACAGATATCCGAGAGAGCCTTGGTAGATCGACAAGTCACAGTTGCGTGATTTGGGCACGTGTTGCGATTACCTCCAGAAAGAAAGACGAAAGACAACCACCGAACAGAAAAGCCCGGGTACGATCTGGAGTATCCTGGGGCCAGTGTACAAAAGTCTGTGCTCTCGACTACGGTTGTCCTTTGCCAAATGTCAAACGCTGGCACGGGATTCAGAACGCTATAAGCACTATCTGGCTCATGTATATCCGTGATCCGTAAAGTACAAGCGGTGATCGAAATTCATTATTGATAGACATGAGATATCTTCGACTGTGATCCTCTCCTTCTGCAAACAAAGAGATCAGAGCTGCGATGATTTGGTCGTGTGTGCAGAAAACCGCAGGAGAAACTCGCAAGAAGATTTTCATTGCGAAGCCAAATGGGCTTGATTATACTGTAGAGATGTCACAGTCGCGCTAGCATAGAATGTAAGATGTGGGACTTAGAGTTCATGAATTTATCATACGGCCCGGCGAACCGAAAAGGCCTGTTCAACTGTTCTCGCAGCCTTGAAGAAATGACGGATATTGAAAACGATTGCACGTATATATGAATTAATTAATGAACCAAAGTATTTGAAATGATAAATGGAGCAGAACTCTGCACGCACATAAGCTATTTATTTAAACAGCGTAGATTTTGGTTCTTCGATACATCGACGTCTATAATAATGGAGATATGTTTGTTAGTTGATATGGGATGGATAAACAGTTAAGTCATGAAACTTGCCCATTAGTTGATTACGCGGGTGCTGAACCAGTTTCAGAGCGACTCTGACGCCAGGTAACTCCGACTTCATTACCATGCTGCGTTTTTGAGATCAGGTGTTAACTCCTTTGAACGGAATGGCATCCGTTAGTCGTTGATATTTTTTTTGCTTTTGCAAATTCGCTGGATGTTCAATGGCATCGATGAATCGCTCAATCATTTACAAAGCCTAGAAAGCAAATGTCGAAGCTAATGCGTTGAAAATTAACCTTGATATTTTCTTCAGACTCTATTTAAGTGCTTAGATAAATAATGTATGCGACTTTAATAACTATAGACTGGAAATGTATAAGCTAAATAATTTACCAAGCTCCGATGACAGCCGCGTAACTCGCTTTATCGAACATTCGCCATTGTGGCAAATAGGTTTAGTGAACTTATAATCAAAATAAATCCGTATTTATTGCCGTATCGCATGTTTAACTGGACAGTAATATTAAATGTGTTTATATGCATTATAGGTTTGCATAAACCAGCTGATTATAAACTGACCGCTACCACTCTAGTAATTGTGGGGATGCAATTCTTTCAGTTACCACGCGAACCTTGTAGCATTTTATGGTCTACTGGATCGAGTAAAGATTGACTCTTTTCAAGAGCTCGTCAAGATCGCGCATTTAGCTTGGTAATGTGACTAAATCTAGATTCATGTGCACGGATGTTACAAATACGAACATGTATAGTATCCGCTCCGTAGTCTGAGCTTCACTGTTCTAGTAGTTTATCCAATAGGGATCGGTTTATCTATAAAAAACAACTGTGAGCAGGCGCTCAAGAACATCGTCACTCTTGTTTACCGGCATGATCAAATCTGTTGTTTTTAATTGATTCATTGTGCAGAAAATGTAACTCGTAAATAAATAAACACATAAAAATCTCAATATTTACTTTAGAGTAATGAAATTAGTAGAATCAGCGAAAGTGTCTATTTATGATGACGAATCATAGCTAAAATAGGCTTTGGTGAGTGTATCTGTAATCAGGTCGACCTTAGACTTGTCCAAACCGGCTTTCGAAAACATAAGTAGTATCGAGGATCTTGATCCTGAAAGCCTGTTCTGGCTGTCTGCTGTTTTGAGTCTGAACAGCCTTTTAAAATCAGCCGCAATTTCGGGAATACGAAGCGCGTAAATGAATGGATTGACTAAGCCTTTGAGCAAAATGCAACAACCGGCAACCACGCTGAATCTAAAGTACAAAACGTCCCCGTCGCCGATGATGTAGTGGAACGGGCATGAAAAACAGAACAAAGCCGTGAAGATGCACGCTGGCATCCAGCCAATCAAAAACGCAAGCCACACATACAAAACTGTCAACAGCATTTGTCTTCTTTTCTTTAGCCGGAGTGACAACGCCTTGCTGGACTGTTTGGCAAATCGAAGCCGTCGATTCTTCAGGCTTCTTAGCATGGATATATAGATAAGAAATGTGACCGCTATTGAGGCCAAAATGAATGACGATACACTTATCCTGTAAGTGAAATTGTGATGAATTGCCGCTCCAGAACACAGGCCATCCGGCGAACGAAAGCCGAGCCTAGGGAATGCCGACAGATAGGTCATCGATGCAGCGGTTGGAAGTATCCACAACAACGCTAGGGCGATGCACACCTTTGATCTGCTGAATATTTGGTAATACAGCAAAGGCCGCGATATCAGCAAGTGATGATTAATCGATATCATTACCACATGAGCACATCCAGTGAGGGCTCCGCCCAACCGAAATGAGTCCAGCGTCATCAGCACGCATTGGTAGTCGATCGCCGTTTCTCGCGAACGTATGACGTACTTTTTCACAATCATAGTTATGATTATTAAAACGGAGGTCCAAATGTCCGATAAAGCCAAACTCAGCGCGAATCGGATCGAAGGTGAAAGTCTGATGGTCAGCTGGCTGACAACAAACAGAACCAGAAAATTGAAAATCACTGACAAAATACATAATACTATACAGAAGGCTAACGTTACTGCGCTTACCATATAGAAATATCCGAACAAGTCATCGAGTGTCTCTTGTGTGAAATTAAATGAAGCGATGTTCTCAGCAGTCATGTTTATGAGCTATTTAGCAGAAGAGACTTTAGTGTTGGCTGAACTGCGAAGCATCGAAGCAGTTATTGACGAAAGTCATGGATTAGCGCTGTGTAGAGCTTGCAGAACGCCTGTCGTTATCGAGTTCACTCAACGTTTGCGGCCAACTGAATGAGGCGCCGGCCTTCAACATGTTGTTCTCTCATTTTTGACATCAGAGTACCTTTACTCTCGA